GTTATTTTTTTATAAGAATAGTTATTTGTGTCTTAACTAGTGCTCCATGATATTTAAGGTTGAAAGTTTTTAGCATCAGTCTTAGATGAAAACAGTCATTTAAAAAAGTGTTTAGGATTTTTAAAAAAGAATTTAGAAAGCTGTGAGATATTGATATTTTCAGCCATTTGCAATACATTTCTTTTCAGACCTAATTAGTTATATTTTTTGGTATAAAAATTTTTTTTTATATTTAGGTATGTAGTGTAGATTCTTTGAGAACTCTCTTTTTGTATTGAATATTTTTCTTAACATAAATTTCACCAAAATCTTTTTGCAGAGAGATTTCAGTGTGCACGTGGGACAGCTACATCAATAAAAGGAACCACGGATGTATTAGTAGATAAATTAAAAAGAATTTGTAATCCCTACATTTATACATCTTCACAGGATATTCTTTTGAGCTTCTTTTCCTTCCTATTCTTCCTTCTTTATTAAGCAAATCACATAACAGGTTCTGTATTAGGCTTTGGAATCATGTATAGAAAAAATTAAGGTCATCCCTGCTATCATGCATCTTCTATTCCAAGAGAAAAGACAGATATTAAATGAACATGAAAAATATCTTTCAGTATATTTGTGTTGAAAGTTACAAAATGCCCATCAATGAAGGATTTTGTCATTTGTAAAAGAACAGTGGTTAAACAGTCATACTAGATTTCTGAGTCCAAATATACTGTTTTCTCTCAGCTTTATTGCTTTCATAATTTTGCAGAACCCTCAGAGAGGAGAATCCACACTGTTTGATAATTGTTTTATGTGGTGAAAAATTAATTTAGTCAATGTAGAAAACCTTTCTTAAATAGTCGTGTCCTGCCTTCCTTTTAGAAGCTATGCTTAAAAATGTTTAGAACAATGTCAAATTTTATTTGGCTTTCTTTTTAAAGTTTTTTGAAGAAAGTAAATTGAGATATTTTTGCTCAAGTTGTCACCATTAGACTGATATCAGGATAAAAGTAGTAAATTCAATTTGCTAATTCAAAAATGCTAGAAATTCTTTATTCAGTATATGATAAGTGTCATACAAGTTAATGACTAACTTTCTCTAGGTCAGGTCTGTGACCCCGCCACTTGTTTTTGTAAATAAAGTTTTTTTGAACATAGCTGTACTCATTCATTTACATATTTTCTATGGCTGCGTTGACAGTACAGGGTAGAGTTGAGTAGTTGTAACAGACAGTAGAGCTCATACATCCTGCAAAGCCATATCGTCCCTTATAGAACAACTTCGCCAACTATTACAGACATAGGAGTTGTTGTTGTTGTTGGTTGTGTGGCAGTGGGGGCATGAAGTGTTTTAAGACCTTCTTTCCTCTGTATCCCACCTCTCTTCAGGGTTCTATATTCCCTGACTAATGGGGTTTTCATCAACTTTCATTGTGAAAATCATCTGTAGAATAAATTTTTTTGTTTCTAACGTGCTCTTAGGTACATTTGGTAATGAGGTAGCCATTTCTATTCATATTTGGTGATATGTGATACTTTTAGATAAATCCAAATAGTTTCAGCCATTTTTTATCTTTCCTTATCTTTCCTTATCTCTAGGTACAGGACATCTGCTTCAGCCATGACTGTCGCTGGGTTGTGGTCAGTACTCTCCGGGGTACTTCCCATGTTTTCCCCATCAACCCTTATGGTGGCCAGCCTTGTGTTCGTACACATATGTCACCACGAGTAGTGAATCGCATGAGCCGTTTCCAGAAAAGTGCCGGACTGGAAGAGATTGAGCAAGAACTGACATCTAAGCAAGGAGGTCGCTGTAGCCCTGTTCCAGGTCTATCAAGCAGCCCTTCTGGCTCACCTCTGCATGGTAAAACCAGTTTTCTCTCTCTCCACTGCTCTTTTCAATCCCCTTCCCCTTTGTTCCTAATTTTACACATCTGGGATAATAAAAATTTTTATAATCTGTACATGTAAAGATAAGATCTTAGGCTCATATGAGATATTGTTATTTATTAAATCATTTAATAATTTGGAGCCAATATAGTAGTGGTGGTCTTTACCATGCTATTTTAACTCCCTCTTTCAATATATGAGGGATATTTGATATTGTATTTATAGAATATGAAGTTGGAGACTATGTTTGTAACTTTAGAGAACTGAACCTCCTTTATACATATCTCTTCTAGAACATTGTCTTTAATGGGCCAGTACTATAGTTTATTAAGAAATATTTATTCATGGAAAGGAATAGTCATGAGTCATATGTATTTTAGATAGAGTGGCATTTGCATTTTATTTTAAAATACATCTCTGTGGGATTTCTATCGGTATATTACAGGAAAAACAAAGATGTGTCTCAATAATTTATCTTAAAGCAATACCCATCAATCCCAATCACCATCCCAGTCAATAAATGGAGCATTATCAGAATCCCCCTTTTGTTCACCTTCTCCATGACATTAAACCACGATTCTGACTTTCATGGTAATTACTTCATTACTTTTTAAAAATAGTTCTACTCCTCAGGAAGTATCCTTAAACACTGTTGTTTCTATTTTATATAAATGGAATTATAGAGTATGTATATATCAGTGTATTTGGCTGTTTTAACATTTGTGAGGTTTCTTCATGTTGTTACAGGTAGGTTTAGTTCATTTATTTACATTGCTCTAACTTAGTCCTTTGTACTTCTATTTATTTATCATTTCTTCTACTGGTGATATACATTTGTGCAGTTTCTGGTTTGGGGTTAATATGTATATTAATTTTTGAGTGGAAATTCTGGATCATAATGTATGTGAATCTTAATCTTAATAGATATTACCAGAGTGGTTATACCATTTCATTCCCAGAATGACAGAAAATGTTGACATTAGATTACTCCTTTCTCTGGAGCATTGTAGATTCTCCTTGATGGATGACCATTTTAGGTTTTCCAGATTGAGGAATTTTATATAGAGAGATTATGGTTACCGCAGAAAGTAATCTTTATTTTTTTAATTGATCTGAAATTCACATAACATAAAATTAACCATTTGACTGTGGCATTTAGTAGGTCCACTATGTTGTGCAACCACTGTCTCTATCTAGTTCCAAAACATTTTCCTCACTCCAAAAAGTAAACCACATATTCTTTAAGCAGTTGTTCCCCTATCTTCTTTCCCCCAATCCCCTAGTAACCACCACTGTGCTTTTTATCTCTGTGGATTTACCTGTTCTGTGTATTTCATATAAATATAGTGATATAATATGTAACCTTTTGTTTCTGGCTTCTTTCACTTAGTATAATGTTTTTGAGTTTCACCTATATTGTAGTATTATGTGTCAGTACTTCATTCCTTTTTATGGCCGAATTCCATTGTATAACACAATTCATTCATTTATGTACATTTGGATTGTTTCTACCTTTTGGCTGTTGTGAATAGTGCTATTGTGAATATGTGTGTATAGGTATTTAATATTGAATACTTCTTTCTAATTCTTTTGGGTATGTACCTATCCTTATTTGTTTTAGCTTCTGTACTGAGCAACTGGTAATATCTGACCAATTCCAGATATATATGTTCTGTAGGAAGCTTTAAGGTAGGCTAACAAAATGTATAGGTAAACAGTATCCTGGGGATAACTTCTGTAACTCAAAAAAGTAGGACCTCTATTTTTTCCTGCGATTATACTTTATGCTGTGGCTTTATTATTTTTTTATCATCTTA